CCTGGGTGGCATCATGTAAGATGAGAGCAGGTGCTGTGTGACCAAGTCTCCCGAGTATTTGGCTTCTCTGTGACCTGGGTCTTTGCAGCAGCATGTTTCACTTACTGGGATTCACTCTGCGTGAGCACACCTGGGACCAGGTGCTTCAAAGGCAGCAGACCAGCCACTCTCCAGGGATCCCCTTCTGATCTGCCCAGGAAAGAGGAGTGTGGACACTCCCCTGCCCGCTGCATGCGCTGGCAGGAAGCCAGGCTGGAGTCCCCGTGGTTAAAGCTATTGGCAGGGGCACCCTAGGAGCGGTTTCTCAAATCCTTCCTGTTTTGGCACCTTGTACAACAATATTATTAAAATCCAGCTGAGCGTTGATGAGTACAGAATTCCTATGCCAAGGAGATGTCACTAATCCCAAAGCAGTCAAAGAAGAGACCTCAAACCGGATGTTAATTTGTCCTTTGTGTAACAATGTAACCAAAATATTGATGATAAAGAAGTCACAATTTAAGATTCAGAATAAATGGGTTTGATGTCTGCCTTGCTCTTCTCCCTTCCCATTGTCTCCCAACTCCCAAATTGTGTGTATCAGCCAAGGGTCGGGGACTTGCCAAAGGTAAATCCATACCCTGCCTGTTTAAACACACACACACACACACACACACACACACACACACACACTGATCTAGTAATGGGTCAGATGGAATTTACACATAAAATACATTTCAATTAGTACATAACATCTTTCACACAGGACAATTTTTGAAGAGATACATTAAAAAGACAGCATTCAAAAGGTGTTGTGGATAGGCAGTCTGCTTCTGTCACATGTAATCATTGATGTGGTCCCTGTTCCAATCAGAAACCAGTGATTAAAAGAAACGGACATTTGAAGAGAGAGTCAGTTGTTTCTAAGGCATGTGAGAGATTGGAATGGCATTGGCTTCCATTTCCCAAAAAGAGATGCAGTGGGGACTATATAAATGAAAAACTACAGTTTGAGTAAGGGTCTGAGTTTCACTGGCCTTAGGTGAAGAGCATGATAGGGTACAGAATAAATTTAATTTGAATTAAAATGCTGTTACATTTTGTGAAGATGGGGGGAATATCAACCCAAAGACACTTGGGGTGTTTTGGCTCTGGTCAGTAGAGATACTTCTGAGCGAAAGCATTGTTTATGAATGCTGATAACATAAACAGCAGGATGCTGGCTAACATGTTTTCTCTGTATTTTATTGCCCTTAGTTATTTAGTCCTCTTTCTCTCATTTCCTTAACCTTCTGTTCAATTTAAAACGAACAGCAAACCTCATTCGAAGATAATACAGCACTTCAGAGAGTGAAAGATATATGAGTACTTGTTATTTTTACTGCTTACAAATATGGAATACACGCATTTCTTTGTATTTACAACTTTATTACATAGAGGCTGTCATTTGGCTATACTGTATAATAAATAAGTTATTAAATTGACTGATCTAAAAATAACTATATTTCAGGAGTTTATTTTGTTAGGTAAAATGCTTCATTCTGTTTATTACACTCTTTTTTTTTCTTTTTTCTTTTTTGAGCTGATGCCAAAGACTACATTAGGAAGAAGTGGTGACACTGGTGTTTCTGCAGTTGTTATAACTCACTGTCATGTCTGCCTGTGATGAAGCTCCTGTGTATGGTCTACAAAAATATGTAGGTCAGAGCAAACTTTGAACTTGATTTTCCTTCAATTAGAAAAAAGAGGCAGGCGTGATATTTGCCGCCCAATTTGAGCAGCCCCATCTCTGAGCCTCAGTTTCCCCACCTTTTGCACGTGGACCATGACCCCTGTGACCCCCGCCTCCCCCCAGCTTACCAGACTATTGTAAGGGCCACACTGAGACCTGAGGACTGTCATGCACCTTGATGACAGGCAGTGCCAATGGTGTGGAGGGTGTTTTTGGAAAGTCAGACTTTTCAACATGCAGTTTATGAAAAATATTTAAAATATCTGACAGGAGGACATTTTTATGTGAATTTCCATTTTCTCAAAGAGTGTGGTAACACTGTGGTGTTATATTGAAGTATCACCTGATTTTTATGAATGGTAATAGGAACATATGCAAATCTATACATTTTTCACATGAACTCAGTTATGTTATTTGACTATCGTTTGTGGCTCAAGCCCACCTTTCTGTTCTAGTAGGTAATGCCAATATTTTATAAAAATATTCAGCTATAACATTTTTAGCACAGGTAAATAGTGAGTTATCAATTTGTTTTTGCGTTATGATAGTAAGTTGGTCTAGTTGGTAAAGGTTAACCCTACTAACTATAAATGCTTTTTTAAAAAAAAATAACAATTTTTTAACTTAAAATATATTCTAATTTGAAACACATCCCTGATGATTCAACTATCTAGGTCCTGAGAAACTGTGTTTACCATTGTAACTGCTGAGGGTTTTTTGTTTGTTTGCTTTTTGCATCCTAATATTTTTTATTTATATGCTCATGTATAATGAAATCATTTACATTTTAAAAATTGTGCTTATTATGACTGCTAAGAGCAAAAGCTATAAAAGCCTATTGAATATTGGCCTGAAAATTCATGGAACACTGTATAGATTACATATTTACTTGTTTGGAAAAAAAATGTTTAAGCTAAATCTAATTATATCAAGCATCAGAAAAGTTAAAAAGTTATACAAAACAAACTGAAAACTCTGCTGTATTCTTACATTTATTTGTAATATTTGTACTATTTCCTTGATATCTTATCAAGGGAACTGATTGATATCAAGTCACATACATAGTAACTATTCCATATATATTGTTTGCCTGCAAACACTTGAACATGTGGTTTTTATCAGAGACATAAAATAAAGTACATAGATTGGCCACATTCTCCTGGACTCTAGAAATATGTGAGAGGAAAAGTTGATAAATCACTGTTTATCACTGTTTATGGGTTGCTCCAATACACCACCTATATCAGAAGGAGCAGAGTGTCCCATCAATGTATGTCTCCATAATTTTGCAATCTTTTACAAGGAAATAAACATGGCATAAGATAATGTAGCTGTGAGTAAATAGTGTTTATATTTTCTACAGCCCAGGACGTATATAATAACCTAATGCATAGATGCACATGAATAAAATGCTCTGTTACATTTAAGACAGTGCCAACACATGATGGAATTCATAGAGGCAGGTTACACTGAATCACTTTATAGGTTTTACTGAGTCATCTGTAAAAAACACATGTACAAAACATAAAACTACCTTAACCATAGAACTACAATGACTTTTTGCTCTTTGCCTTGTTTATGTAGCTGTTTAACTGTCATTGGGACTCACACTTTGATACTAAAATGGGATATTGCAAACATATTTTACATTTTAAGATCAAAGCCTATAAATTCTCACAAGACTCTTAAAATTGATTTTCTTGGCATTTAAGGAGCAAGCACAGCAAATACAAGGAAATAAGTTAAAATACAATTTCCATTTTGGAAACTTGGTTTTATCATTTAACAGTTTTCGAGCTTAAAAAAATTTTTTTAACTGATGCTCTGAAGAATGTAACTGATGGTGGCCACATTCATTAAACAAGTCTGTTTACATATTTTCCCAGCCTTTAAAAAACACTTTTGCAGTTATATTTCACCAAAATACTATATTTCCTGCTTGTGCAGGCAGAACACTACAGTTTGCCCATATTTAGATGTTTTAAATGTTAACGTGACATAGCAATCCATGATCTATTTGTTCAGATCCAATCCTCACCCATACCTTCAAAATAAACAAATACTGCTCCCCACAGAAAAAGTCTTGTCAAAATCATTTAAGATAGATTCAATGAATATAAACTGTTTAATAAATGGCATGTGTGTGAGTCTGTAAAGTAACATTATACCAAAACCCAAATTCGAAGTAAATGAGCTTTCCTTCCATTCCCAAACCCAGTAGGGTTACTTGAAATTTAAGGGCAGAAGCCACGTGACTTTTACCTCCCACGGATAACAGGAGCTCTGCTTTATTTTCCTAAGTGGATTTTGCTGTGGATTTCCAGCACCAGAATCAGGGTCTGTGGCCTCATAAATCATCATCTTCATCAGCTGGCCCACGTACACTCACTGTGTAGTGTAAATCAGCTCCTTGACAACTTAATTTGGAAAAGAAATCTTCATTCCCTCTTAGAATGCCTGTGGCAGGACTCCCCGGGGTTAGAATGCTGCTTTGCGCTAGAACTACCTTAATAGAAGGGAAGCTATTTATGAATGAGCCAGGCTTGCAACCTGAGGGGCAGCGCCTTGGCTTGTATTATCTTGTTCCTTCACATTCTCTCAGAATGTTGATATCTCCCAAATTCATTGCAGGTGGCGAGAAACATTATTGGAAAAGGTGGGCAATACATTGGCATGTGGAACTCCTGAGTATTTTGCTTAAGTCTGTTTGCTCTCACTTTATTCATTTTGCAGTACTTATATAAATCTCTTATGCTTTTGAGCTCCTGTAGGCTATAGAGAATCCTTGGCTTTGTCCTATAAATGGATATTTATTGTTATTCTGGGTGCATTGTTGTTATGGAACTGACTTAAGAATATACCTAAAATATAACTAAATTAACTGGAAAATTTTGGCAAATTCTTCTTAATACTAAAACCCCTCATTTGCAACATTTTACATGGGTCTTAACAGATTCCTACCAGCTTTAAAATCAATAATAATATTTATTTTTGAATTGGTAACATTTTTTGCAATCATGTAACTTTCAGGATATATACATATAGTTCCAGAGACCAGTCTATTGCTGACAAAAAATGTAGGACCTCAAAATATGACCCTGTCTTTGTTTTCATATTACCAAGCGCCATGTCTGGAAGTCATAGCACAGGTTTTGCTCTGAAATTGTAAACTGTCAGTGGAAAGAGAAAATTATATGACTTTTAAATAATTTATTCCTTAGTGATCAGGATTTAGATATTTTCTTTTCATTCCATCACTGGA